TTTAACTTTATAATGCTATAACTTATTGAAAAGTTTATGGATCCACACAATTTTTTTATGAGAAATAATATTTTTTAATAAACCCTTTTTCATTCGACATACTTTATCTTAATCGAGATATTAAGGAACCAGCAAATCAAGTAGCTTTTGGAATAAAACACCAATTTTTTTAAAATTAAACACTATCTAAAGATTTGCATCGAAGCGTTTATTTTTGATAGTGATTTTAATCACTGTCATATATCATTATACTAGATCCAACTATACCACGTCACAACTGTGCCGCGACCCCCCTGTGCTGGGTTTTTAATTATAGATGTGTGTACCCTTATTTTTTCCCTCATCTATTTTCTTCTTATACCTACTTTTTTATCTTATCTTCTACGTGTAAATAGAGATGTCGTAGTTAAAACATGCTACTTTTTGTGTTAACATTTTTGATTCTCGATTTTATATTTTCAACTTTAAAATTGCTATAACTTTTTGAATAATGTATGTATCAACACAATTTTTTTTTCTAAATACTTTATATATACCCCTTTCATCTGACATCGCTTTTTTTTAAAATTGGACAATTTTCCCTTATACAGGGGAAATGAAAAACTTTAAATATACGTATAAAAATAGAAATTTTTCAACTTAAGTTTTGAAAATGTTCCGGAAATACTGTGTCCTTTAAACACATTTTAAATTAAAGCTTATGTTACCCACTATAAATTGAAAAAATAATTGTCCTGATGACCTGTCTTCTATGTGCAAATGATTGCCAAAGTTAAAAAAAAAAATATTCTATTTTTGTGTTAAAATTTTTATTTTTTATTTATTTTAAAATACCTTACAAGGGTTTGCCATAATAGAGAGTCCACCAATTTTTATAAAAGTTTCATGAATCTAATTTATATTAAACATTAAATTTAACTTAATTTGATTATATTACCTCCTCAAAATTAAGAAAAACGATTTTGAATTTTTGAATCAGCTTAAATAGTTCTTTTTATGGATTTTAGTGCACGATGACTGCGTCATATATTATACAATTTTATACGCTCGGAGTACGAAGTTCGAACCCCGCCAGACGAAATGCTTTTTTAAATTTTTTTCTTAATTCTTTTTTGAGGTGGAAAAAATTAAAAATTAACAATAATATTCAATGAATATTGAGGACCTTATCATTACAGTCACCTTATGTGAGAATGAATCTTTTATTCATATTAAAATATTTTACTATATGATTTTTGTGTCTGTCATTCATTTTTTTCAGCTCTCACTTGAACAATTTCAGATGAAATAAACTTTTAGCTTCGATGCGAAGCTGAGAAGGTATTAATTTTACTATGATGTGTTTTTTTTTTTTGTCTGATACCACTTTTTCTCAGTTCTCACAGAATCGATTTTTTTTCAACGATATGTCAAAAATTCACAAATCGTATCTAGTTGAAGATATTACGCTCAAAAATTGAAAAAATTTCCCTCGTTCCTCGTAAATGGAGGAAATCTCCAAACAAATTTCAAATTTAAAAATTGCTAATTTTAGAAATTTGTTCAATTTTTTGTATTTAAAACTGCCATAACTTTTTTAAAATTGACCGAATCAATATAATTTTTTTATATAGATGCATGATATCATTACCTTTCATTTGGTATATTTTTTTTTATAAATCTGACCCTTTACCTGCCCAGGGGGGGGATTTAAAATGACAACTTTTTCAACTTGACTTTTGAAAATGTTCCAGAAAGTCTGACACTTTTATATATATCTTAAATTAAAGCTAATGTAATATAATGGCTATCAAATGCTATTTTTGTGTGAAAATTCTCGATTTTGCATTTTACATTTTTAACTTTATTATGCTATAACTTTTTGAAAAATGTATGAATCAATACAATTTTTTCAAGAAAAGTGGTATTTATATAAATCTTTCATTCGACATACTGTTTTTATAAATTGAACCATTTTCCTATATACGAGGGGGGTTCAAATCTAAAAAATGCATATAGAAAGTAGAACTTTCACTTAACTTTTGAAAGTGTTTCGGGAAAGTCTGACACTTTTATATATATCTTAAATTAAAGCTAATGTAATATACTTTTTTATGGAAAAAAAAAATTTCGGATTTAATTCTATCTTCATGGTGAAAACAGACATCAAAGTTAATAAAAAAAATACGATTTCTGTAAACAAATTCTTTTTTATATTTTTAACTTTATAATGCTATAACTTCTCGAAAGATGTATGGATCAATATAATTCTTTTTTTTGTAGATGCATGATGTCTTTACCTATCATTTGGTATATTTTTTTTATAAATCTGACTTTTGACCTGCCTACAGGGGGGGATTCAAAATGACAACTTTTTCACAAAAAATTGACTTTTTCAACTTAAATTTTGAAAGTGTTCCGGAAAGTCTGACACTTTTATATATATCTTAAATTAAAGCTAATGTAATTTACTTTATTATGCGAAAAAAAAATTTCGGACTTTATTTTATCTTCACGGTGAAAATGGCTACCGAATGCTATTATTGTGTGAAAATTCTCGATTTTATTTTTTACATTTTTAACTTTATAATGCTATGACATATTGAAAAGTGTATGGATCAACATTATTTTTTTATAAGAAATAATATTTTTTAATAATCCCTTTTTCATTCGACATACTTTATCTTAATTAGGATATTAATAATGAACTAGCAGATCATGTAGCTTTTGGAATAATCCACCAATTTTTTAAAATTAAACACTATCTAAAGATTTGCATCGAAGCGTTTTTTTTTATAGTGATTTTAATCACTGTCAGATATCGTTATACTTGATCTAACTATGCCACGCCACCACTGTGCCGCGACACCCCTGTGCTGGGTTTTTTTATTTAGTTAAGTTAAAAAAAATTCAACTTGTCTTTTCACTTAGCTAATTAAGTTTATTATTTGATAACAGTTAATTTATTTACATTGTTAATATTTAACTTGAGTTAATTATTTCAATTAATTTGACCATCTTTGTATCTAATATATTCATTAAAAAAAGTTGTTCATATCATCTCTCGTTTCTTAAAACTAATTTTGTTCATTTGACTTTTTCTGCTCAAATTAACTAATTATTACATACAAAATCAATATTCTATTACTATAGAAGTAATAACGGATAAAACGTTTTAAAATAATATTACCGAGTAGTATAAACGATTATGATACGTGCTAAATAATATTTTTTCTCTTTTTAATTGTTATCATAAAAATATATTTTATAGTGTTTCTACACTTACAATTTTATTACTCATAAAACTAATATTATATCAATTGCAGATTATTTTGAAAAAATGAATTTATGTAATCATTGTTGCAAAACTTTTTTATTATAAGATTATAAAGTTTTTCTTGTTACAAAGAATATGTGTTTAAGAAAAAAAGGGAAAATAAAGGAAAATACTAACAATATTAAATACCTTCTGTTTTTCATACAATGTTTTTATTCTTATTCAATTTCATATATCATTTATTTTTAATTTAATTAATTCACTTAAATAAGGCTCTGCTTAAAATAAAAAATATTTAGAAAAATTTACTACACAATTAATTAAATAACGAATATTTTGTATGATTTTTAATTTGTTTATATTTTATACAATATTTATATGCATTGTACATTTAATTTTCTGTTTTTACATTTAATAAGATTTGGAAAAGTTACATTAAAACAAGTTCTTCAAAATATCTACAATTTTTTTCATAATATTCAACAGGTTTTGACTAGAATTACCAGCGTCTTTTTCGAAAACAGAACAGATATCAAAGTTTTTTTCCAATAGTACATTATATA